AACATTCGGTCCGTTTTCGCTGAAAAAAACTCAAGCGTCTTATCAGCGTGATTGGGGTGTAATGTCTTTAAGTGACGCCATAATTTATTTGGCTTCATGCTGTCGGCTCGCTGAAAAAAACTCAAGCGTCTTATCAGCGTGATTGGGGTGTAATGTCTTTAAGTGACGCCATAATTTATTTGGCTTCATGCTGTCGGCTACCAACATTTTTAGACACAGAAAGCTCACCGATCTTTCCTCGTCTGTCACCGTAGTCACAGCGAGTGGAGCCAAGCACGACATACGCCTCGTCATATTTCCTCCCTTACAATGCTCCCTGCGCAAACTCTGCCAATGAAAGCGCTACTGCCCGCTAACCTAGTGGAGGTGCAACTACACTTTATTCTAGGACGGTAAACAAATAAAAATGCATGTTACCCGAGGTCAAACGCGCCCCCCTTGACGGAGCCTCGCGCCCCCCTAGGGGGCACGCCCCACTATTTGAGAAACACTGAGCTAGACTGTACTTTGCACTAGACTTGCGCTGGGAACGAAAATAGGGCCCTCTGTGTCATTCATACCAGGATGTGTGCTAATCTTCCCTTTTTGCTGTGTGAAGTAGATGAGAAGAACGAGTGCCGCTGCTAGTGTGATTACTCCGAGACTTGCGCCGATGTACAATGGCGTCACTGCAAAAAAAGACAAAATCAGTTCTCAGAACTATGTGTTTTACACATACAGGTTTGGTGGCCAAGTAATAATAACTTACTCGAGGATGAAGTACTTGGAGGAACTTGCTCAGGAGACCCTGTTGTTGACTCGTCTTCCTTGGGCTCCTCTGTTGTTGGCTTGTCTTCCTTGGCCTCCTCTGTTGATCCTTAAAAAAATACAAAATGGAAATAGGGAAACAAGGAAAAAGATGACCCATAAAAGAATTAATGCATTCAGCATGTCTTTCATTTCATCAATTCCTTTGTCTGATCCTTTCTTTAATGACGTTGACCGATGAAATGGCAATGTGTGACAAACAAGGCCATGAGAGGGAAATAGATTGATGATCTTCATTTACTTTCTGAGCTCCATTTTAAAGCCCAGTGCAAGTTCGGTGCAAGGTGCGGCCTAAATCTGTGCAGAGTTGGGTGCACTTCAAAAAGTGCACCCAAAACATTGTGGGGATGAACACAGATACCTTAACTTGTTTTATCCATCCATCCATCCATCCATTTTCTGATCTGCTTTATCCTCACAAGGGTCGCAGGGGGTGCTGGAGCCTATCCCAGCTGTCTTCGGGCAGTAGGCGGGGTCATCCTGAGCTGGTTGCCAGCCAATCGCAGGGCACACATAGACGAATAACCATCCACACTCACATCTAGGGACAATTTGGAGTGTTCAATCAGCCTGCCATGCATGTTTTTGGAATGTGGGAGGAAACCGCAGTACCCGGAGAAAACCCACGCAGGCCCGGGGAGAACATGCAAACTCCACACAGGAAGGCCGGGCCCGGGATCGAACCCACGACCTCTGCACTGTGATGTCGACGCACTAAACACTGGGCCACTGGGCCGCCTGACTTGTTTCAATGGTTCAAAATGTACCAAAGCGACTGAGAAGAAGTGTAAACGTGTCAGGCTCGCTGATAGTGTTCATCATGGCGGAAGAATGAAACGATTTGCTCGTGTCTCGCAGCAGGTCGAACACAGATCTGTGAAGTGGTCACTTGGATTTCGAATGTGTCTGTGGTCTCAAGAATAACTTCGACTGAGAAGAAGTGTAAACGTATCAGGCTCGCTGATCGTGTTCATCATGGCGGAAGAATGAAATGATTTGCTCGTGTCTCGCAGCAGGTCGAACACAGATCTGTGAAGTGGTCACTTGGATTTCGAATGTCTCTGTGGTCTCAAGAATAACTGTTGTTAAATGAATAGCTTTCTCACAATGTCATTAAAAACTGTACAAAACCTCATAATGGTGGTTACAACAGGGGTCATCAAACGGGGTCTTTGAGCTTTGGCGTCAGCAAAACAGTTTAAGATAAATTAGTGTTATGTCATGTATTTTGCATTTTATTTAAAAAAAAATAAAATGCATCGCTTCATAAGGGGACATGCACACCAATAAACCAAACATGATAAACCATTACTTCCCCCTCCTTTTGCTTTGGGCCAATAAAAAGCTCTGACAAGACTGTCTCGCCGCATAATTTGTGTCATCCTTGCATCAGTCACTTTAATCATGACTCAATTGGCACAAACCATTTCTTGAGTTTAGGGGTGGGCAACTCCGCTTTCCTTCATGTGTTAGATGTTTCACATTATTATTTTTTTTTAGGGGGGAGGGGGGGTCAAAAATCAGCCAATCAAGTCTGACTGGCAGCCATGACAGCCATCGAAATTCTGTTCATATGTCTACACACTCAGCACCGTGCTCAGACACATGGTGCACTCCTAAAAAAACGGTAACTACCATGATGGTAGTTACCATTTGTTTAGTTGGTTTGACAATTGGATTTCTTCATTTATCACTGTTTTGGTACACATTTTAATCTTGAAAACTGTCATGTTGCCTTTATAACTGCGTGTGTTGGACAGGGGGAGTGCGGGAATCATAAAAAATAAAAAATAAACACTCAAACGCCTCGTGTTGGGAAGGCAATGTGAGCCCCTATTAATAATAGTAATGGCCTCTATTGCGTATTTCTCAAATTGTATTTATTTTTGTTTAGATCTGACATGTTTTGATATTTTTCTTTGAGACCCAGGTGGGAACTCAACAGCAGTAATTTACTGTACATCAGTTTTATATTTCGTGAGACTCCTTCTGACTCTGAATAGAATACACTGTTGTTGTCTGCTGCTATATTTTAGAGAGATTGATGCTATTGCCATGCGTTCGACTAGCAACCGGAAGTTAGCGCGCTTCCATAGCCCGAATGCGTAAATGGTGCGTGCATGTAGTCCATTCCAGTAATAATACATTTTGGTTGCATTTTTATGAATAAAAACTTAATATGGCATTTAGGAGTGCACATGGTGCACTCCTAAAAAAACGATAACTACCATGATGGTAGTTACCATTTGTTTAGTTGGTGTTAAAGAGTATGAAGGGGTCCGTTAAAAACGTTTTCCCATGTCGGAGGTCCCCAAACCAAAAAAGATTCCCTAGTGCAGAGCTACCTAATAAAGAGATTCTAAGTGTAGACTGGTTTATCCACTCACCTTCTCTGACCGTGAGGACAACTTTTTGGTATATATCCAGACCAAATTTTTCCCATCCACACCAGTAGGTCCCAGCATCCTGCTTTGTCAGATGAAAGATTGTAACATTGAAGATATTTCTCGCATCTACTATGCTGTATTTCTCTTGAGAATACCATTCCCTGCTTTTTATTAAGACATCTTTATCACGTTTACAGACTGAATTGCAGAAGTATTTGACATTATCAAATGCACTGTCGTGAGAGCATGTTATTGTTATGTCCTTCCCAGATACTCCTGTCACTTCAACCACCGTGCTTGCTCTCCCTGCACCAAACACAGAAAAGAAACCACTTATATAACTTACTTTGTAACTTGCAATTCAATGGGTGACAGTACA